AAAAAAAAAAAAAAAAAAAAAAAAAAAAAAAAAAAAAAAGAGAGAGAGAGAGAAAGAAAAAGGTCTCTGTGAAAGTGGGAGGGGGAAAAATAAGGGATTTCACAAAGAGAGAGAATTGGAAAATGGATCAAGGTTCAAGTTCTAACCTTCAGAGCTGTAATGTTACAGCAGTACGAAATTCTGGTAATGCACATTTGTCTCTGGTTTTTTAATCTGCTTAGTAAAAATATGTATATGATAATAATTTATTGTTATGATCTACTGTTTTTAATTAGCAAAAGATAGATCTATGCATTTCTTGAAGAGATTTTATGCATGCAAAAGGTTTTTGAACTTCTTGATATATCATTTCTTTAAATGTTTCTAATGTTGATTCTTTTTTCATTTGCATGTGTGAGATTTTATATTTGACTTCTGTTCATAAGTTCAAAATAATATTTCAATAATTCAACATCTATATTTTGTTGTCATTTTTTGTTTTGCATATTTTTAGGTTTGAAGTTTAAAATTTTTGTTTTGATCGACTTAATAGGGTTTGATCCGTAGAATCTCAAAGATTCGATAGTTAAGATCCTTGTGCGTAAAGTTAATATTTGTCGGATGTTGTCTTTTTTTTTTTATTTCCTCTTTCTTTCTCCGTCGAGAAAATGCTTTATTCAACTATGTGCTTATTTCTCTTGTTGACTCGTCGTACATGTTTTAAGGAAAAAATTAGCTTCATTAAAATCAAGAAGGAAGGTAATTCAACGAGTTTGAACTCAAGCAAGATGTCAATGGTATTTCTTGCCATTTGATTGCGGATCCAAGTAGGCAATAACTCACTCTACTTTGGTTGTATCGCTTCAAATAACTCATTTTAGTTTAAAATATCATCTTTTACTGAATGAAGTTGTTAGCTATTTGACAAAAAAGCTAACAACTTACATACATCTGTATGCGCGTGCGTGTTTTGACCACTTTTCACTTAAATTGAAACGTATAAGGGACATGAAGATATTATTGCTCATTTTGACTACTTTTTCATTGAATAATGCTACCACAATGGGAGATGAATCAATTAATGCCACTAAGTAATTGTCACCTAAATTGATGTTTATCCGAGCACCTTAATCAATAGAGATAATTAGTATTTAATTGGAACCCATTAAATACATCCTAATCTCATCTCAACCAAAAATTGAATGCTTCCCTTACAATATAGGTAAATATGAAATATATTAGCAAGACATCTTTCAAACGTAGACTATATTCAATTTCATAACATATAAATGATGTTAGAGACTAGTGTGCTAGTAGACCACTAGTCAAATTGTTGCATGAAAGTAATTGTGAAGTACTCGAATGGATTCCTCTTTAATATCATTTTAGGGCCGGTGATTCAAGAGGCTCTTGGTGCTGAGAGCAATTCAAGTGGCTCGTCGACTGAGCAAACAACTAAGCGTGCTCGTGCTAGTAACCTCATGCCAACGACTAATATGCTTAAAATCATGCGAAGTGGTCTCCCCGAACATGCTAAAATTGCTAATGATGCGAAGGACAAAATGCAAGAATGCGTGTCTAGCTTCATACGAGTCGTCACCAATGAAGCTAATCTAAGGTGTCATCAAGAGCATCGAAGAACCATCACCGGCGAAGACCTAATAGTTGCTATGGGGAAGCTCGGATTGGATAACTACATTGAACCCCTAACTTGTTACTTGAGCAAGTATCGTGAACATGAGTTCCAAAAGAAATCTTTGCCTGGTGAACGATATAAGAAGCGCAATGTCTCCTTCGTTCAACCCCAAATTACTCCCCAGCCGCCTGTGCAAGTTGTGCCCTTGGATTATGCATGGGATATGCCCATAGATGACAGTCCGGATGGTCATGGTGAAGGATCTTAGAAATTTTTAGCTGCAGATATGAAAGTTTTGGGATTGGAAACTCAGTTTGTAATTTAAGAATTCAAGAATTCTCAATCAGGCTATTAGTTTTCATGGTTCGCTCATGAAATTTGTCATGTGTTTTAGTTAATAATGATATTAACATATATTAGGAGAAAAACTAATTTTGTTTTTTACCATAGTAGGCTATCGGCTACGGGAGTTTTGCTATCTTTCATGGATGCACCGAGATCTTGATGATTTTCTATATCTAATGAATGAGTGAAACCCATGAGAACCACCATGATCAGGGTTGACCCAGAAGAATTTTGAGGCTCTAGGCAAATAATTAGCCCCCGTTTGGCTTTCATTACATTACATTTCATTACCTTCTATTTTTCTCTCTTCTATTTTCAACTACATAATCTTCTATAAAATAATATTACACGTAAATTGAAAAAAAATCTTTCTTTTTCAACCACTCATTTTCAAAAAAAAAAAAATAATATTCATCCCATTTTCATTACCAATAAATGGGGGTCAAAGGGGGGCTTAATACGAGGACTTTAAACAAAATCTTTATACAAGCATAACAGGGACTATGAAAACTATAATTAAAACTTATAGACCAAATTGCTACGTAGACAGTAAATTACAATCAATAGTACAATTTTTTATTATTTATCTGTTACCCCTAAAAACTCTCTCTCTTTCTTCATTAAGTGAGAATTTCACTGCAGTATATACTTTACCTGTCTCCAAATACACTTTTGCTTTACTCCGCAAGTTTCACTCCCCATTTCCTTTCTTATTAGGTAAAATTGCAGTTTTCTTTTCATTTCCCCACTTTTTGTGGTGAAAATTTGCTTTTTCTTCTCCCTTTTTTTGCTTTACTTTTGGCATAATTTTTTGGTGTTTACACGTTGTCGATGCTTTGGGCCAATTATTGCTCCGCCATCCAACATATTTTTAGGCCTTTAAGATTGGAGGCCCTAAGCCATAGCCTTCGTGGCTTTGGTCGAGGGCCGGGCCTGTCCATGATCATCTAGAGCCAAGGCTTGTAAGGTAGATAACTTTATAAATCTAGTCCTTGTTTGCGAAAATGCATTTTAGAATAGTGTTTTACAAAAGAATGTGTGATAAAAAATAAGGAATAGTTTTCGATTTACGTGTAAAATTATTTCATAAGAGATTGTATAATTGAAAATGAGTTTTAAAAAAATGAATTTTTGAAAAAATGGGACCATACATTGGCCTAATTTCAAACTTCGGCATGCGCGATCATTCAAAGGATAAAAGTTAAAGGTGTAATAGTTCAATCGGGTTGAAGAAAACACACACGCCCCTCCCGTAATCTCGCAACCATAAGTTACTTTCCATCAATATATTAAGGGCCTATTTGGTCATGATTATGAGAATTGATATTTTGACCGTTAGAGAGAAAAGTGAGTTTACTTTTGAGTGAAGAAGTAAAAAATGACTGCTGTAGTAGTGAAATAACGATTAAAAAAATTGATTTTTTGATGTAAAAAATTGTTACCGAACGGGGCTAAAAAAATAATATTTAAACGTTGATATCCCATGATGTCGAGCCTATTCATAGTAAAATAGAATAATATATGTCAAAGCTCAATTGCTTAAAAACATAACCTGTTGAAGGTCCACCATGCCATATTTTCAAATTTGTTTGAATAGATTATTTTTTATTTGATTACAATATTTATTTTGATAGTACTGTCAACATACAGAAATGTAAAAGTTTTAAATGATTCATTTAATTTAAATTAGACACTTGATGATAATTTCTATTCGAATTAATAAATTAAAAGTTTATTTATACATTTTATATAGCCACAAGTCCAAGCCTTACTGGCCATACGCCTTATCCAAATCTATGTACAGAAAATAAAACTTTTTTTTTTTTTTTTGTTCAGTAATAGTGAAATCACTTTAAATAATTGTTTTCAATTCAACCTATAATTTTTCATGACTTACTCGTTTAGTTATAATTAAAATCTTAAGCTTCATAACAAAAGTAAAAGTTACTTTAATTTCATATATGTTAACTTCTCTTACTTTTAAGTTAAAAATTTCATATCCTGAAAGCAACTAAAATCCTGTTTGATTTCCATTTTTCTAAAAATGAAAATGAAAAATATAGCCGTTACAGAATCCACACAAGAAATAAAAAGTCAAATATGATGACTTGATGTGATGAATTACGGTCATATTTTTCATCATCGTAGCCAAAGAATGGGAATCAAACTGGGACTAAATAATACTTATATTATTGTAATAAGTAACTTATTTTCAATTTTAAGAAAAAAATTATTACAACAAGAAACCCCCCTCTCCTTTTTTTTTGGTTCAGCTTGTGCCTTAAGAAAAGAATAATCTGCTTTTTTCCCATCGAGTTTATTCTTGCACCCTTGCAGAAGGAAAGAGAGAAATTTCTTCTTATTTCTCTTAAGCTAGACTTGACAGGTACAAAATGGGATAAAAAAAGGTGCTTTTTGAGGAATGAATTTCCAAAAGTAACAAGAAAGTAGCAGATTGATAAAGACAGCCAAGATTGTTTAATTTCATACGTTGTGTAGTGCTGAGAATCTCGGCTGGTTAAAGTTCGCTCGTCCTTGCAGTGTTATAAAAATTTTATCTCATTTTTCTTCTTTAATTTTGTTCCTTCCAGTCTAGCATTTCAAATATACGAACAGTCAAGTACTTCAAATACTGTTGTAGGAGTTTTTCCTCTTGGTGACACTAAAGCAGCATATATTCTTTCCATAGTCGGGGTATGGTTCGAATCGGCTTGTATGTTGAGAGGTTGTCCCTTGAAATTCCTTAGCGGTAATATCACCCTTCAAGGTTAACTTAGCCTCCGCTTGGGAATAATTTATAAACATTTTAATATATCTATACATAGAAATGAAAGGGGAATAAGTGGATCAATTTTATTACAGTGACAGACTCAACAGGTTAACGGGGAACACGTAGCATTACATGATTGAAGAGTTTAAAAAAAAAAAAAAAACTAGATAGGTGCTACCACTGCCACCCCACCCTGTAAAAGCGTATGTTCATTTAGCATCTAGTATTTACGGATCCATTAAAATGTGCTCATTTATAAATAATATATAAATTTGGCTGAAAGGAGGCTATTGGTCCGTTCAACCACCAGTCGTTGCAATTCTAAATAGTTTGTCTCGTGTCATGGAATGGCTGGCAGGAAACTTGCTTCTTGCCACGCGTTTTATGTAACGTGATTTAACCGCAAGCATACGGTATCAAGTTTTGTAGTATATTAAAGAACTGAAAAGTGTCGAACCCACAAGGATTGATATTCCACTTCCACTGAGTACTATAATTGTGTCCGCGTTTACTTTATTTAGACAATCGGATATTAAATTGATGTTTGAATGCTAAACTAATGTTGATAAATTAAATAATGCAAGGAAAGTGAGACAATTTTTAAAGATTAGATCAGAATTACGTAATATCTAGGGAGTGATTTCATCATATTATCGACATAATTCTCAACCCCTATAGATACTGTTATATATTTATGGTATAAATATAAAATGTGAAAGAAATAATCAAATTAGATAAAGTGCCAAAGTGGTGGGAAATGTGACATTTGTGTGGGACGTCAGGGGTTCGAATCACTCCCCACGCAAATATTAAAATGTCTTGATTTGGGCCTTGGGGCCTTGGGCTCTTGGGCTTCCTTGACTAAAATAAATTTTTCAGATACTTCTATCAACTATTTCCCGAATTCATAGGCAAGAATCCTAAATTAATTCTATCTCCCTCTCTCCAGCGTCAAATAAAACCTATCTTTATATTTTAATCCCAATATCTCTATTCCGAATTAAATAAATAAAGATTATCAAGCACTTGGTTCTTGTTTTACCCTCAAAGTTTCGCACTTTCTCTAGAAACCTACAAATCTAGGTTATATTGTTTTTAGATCACGCATAAATTTCCCTATCTCGAGCGTTAAATTTAGAGCATCAATTCATTCAATTGGTGATCAGGCAACTGAAAGCATTAAGCAATAACAATACAAACCAATTTTGGAAAAAATAAACTAGAATACTATAAAGAAATTAAATTATATCTCAAATAGGTTACATCAAACCCTAGATTTAAAAGTTTAGTTCATGATGGAAAAGAAGTTTAGTTTATGATGGAAAAGAAAAACGCAATGAAATACAAACTAGAGTGCGTGGCGAAGAGAAAGATAGGAAAAAACTCAGTTTGCTGCTTGATTTTTTATTCAAATCGGGTCAGTCTTTTCTCAATTGGTGCTTCTTTTCCTCTTGCCTCTTCAGCCGTCTCACCCCCTCCTTTAGGTCTTCATCTTGGTATTTATATTTTTTAGGAGTCGTCAATGGTTAGGGTACAATTTTTGGGCCGAGAAATAATTGAAATTCCAGATTTTATGCATTTCGGCATCCGGCGCCGCGATGTGGTTACTAACTGGCGCCGCGATGCCCAAGTCTCATGTCGTGGCACCAATGCTACTGCTGTGCTTCCTTTCGTTGGGCACCATGGCGCCACGGCGCCAGACCCACTGCTGGATCTTGGTTTCTTTTGGGTGCCGTGGCGCCAATGCTACTGCCGTGCAACACTCCCATTCATTTTCCAAACCTATTTTCCATTCCGATCTTCTTCACTACTTGCTTATTCATGCTCCATTTTAATGATCATCATTTTTGCTCATCACAGGCTCCCAATTGTGGTATTTTCTCGAGAGTTGTCTAAACTGCAAAACAATACGAACACACACATCAAAACGTTCAAAAGTGCTCGAGAAAAAAATCAAAAAACGTGATTTAGAAGCTTTAGTTTAATGAGTGAATTGCACTCATCACTTCTACACTGCGTTCTTTCTTAACTACTCTTGCTAAATGTTTTACTTCACCAAATCCTCGAAGAACTTCTTAAGTTCAGCTTCAAAGAGCATTGAGGTTTTTCTTTAAGCTCTCGGTTTCTTTGAGAGAACCCGCTCCGTCGCCATC